AAAAAATGTTTGAAGAAGTAAAGGAAATTTTATCTTGTTGGGGATTACAAATTACTCCTGAAAAAAATGCAAAGAGGAGATTCTATTAATTATTTAGGTTATAAAATAGGTTTACAAAAAATTACACCCCAAAAGGAGCAAATTAGGAGATATAGATTGTAGTCATCTGAATGACTTCCAAAGATTGCTAGAAGACATTTCTCATCAATGGCCGACTATTGGGATAGATCCTGATGATCTGATTAATATGGTGGCAAGGATTTAAATTGTTCCAGGGAATTATCAGCTGAGAGAGAACTGACTTTGGTTGAAGAAAAATTACATAAGGCACATGTAGATCTATGTGAATCTGAATCTTAACTGCACTCTGGTCATATTACCCTCCAAACATTCCTCTACAGGAATTTTAATGCAAAGGGAAGATGTTATCTTAGAATGGATCTTTTTGCCACATAAACCAAGTAAAAAAAATTAAAAACTTATGCAGAAAAGGTCTTTGAGTTAATTCTAAAAGGAAAATTGAGACTTTGTCAATTAGCAGAAATTGGCCCAGCAGAAATTATAGTACCTTTAAATAATGGTGAAATTGACAAATTATGTAGAAAGTGAACCCTAGAAAAGGGCTTGTAGTAATTTTTGGGGAGAGATTAGCAACAACTAATCTCTCCAAAAGCAAGAAATTCAACTTATAAAGAAAACTAACTGGATTCTTCCTTGCACTTTCTGGGACATATCAATAATTGGAGCTCCTTAGCTGGGCGGTAGTGGCGCAGGCCTTTAATCCCAGCACTCGGGAGGCTGAGGCAGGCAGATCATTGTGAGTTCGAGACCAGCCTGGTCTACAAGAGCTAGTTCCAGGACAGGCTCCAAAACCACAGAGAAACCCTGTCTCGAAAAAAACAAAAAAACAAAAATAATAATAATTGGAGCTCCTACATTCTATATTGATGCAAATAAGTCAGGAAATGCAGGTTACAAAAAAGAATCTTTAAGTAAAGTGGAACAAAGCCCTTTAGATTCTGTTCAAAAGTCAGAATTATATGCTATTCTCATGGTGCTAAGGGAGTTTAAAGAACTTCTCAACACAGTTACCAATTCTCAATATGCAGAGTTGTTTTGCATATTGGAACCACTGAATTTATACCAGATGATACAGAATTGACTTCATTATTTATTCAGTTACAGGATATAATCAGGAACAGGCATCATCCCATTTACATAATGCATCCTATCCCATACTTGTCTGCCAGACCCTCTAGCACAAGGTAATGCAGAATCAATCAATTATTGATTGGACATGTGCTGAAGACCTTAGAATTTCATAAAAAACATCATGTCAATAACAAAGGTTTAAAATTCTTTTTTAAATATTTATTTATTATGTGTACAATATTCTGTCAGTGTGTATGTCTGCAGGCCAGAAGAGGGCACCAGACCTCATTACAGATGGTTGTGAGCCACCATGTGGTTGCTGGGAATTGAACTCAGGACCTTTTGAAGAGCAGGCAATGCTCTTAACCACTGAGCCATCTCTCCAGCTCCCTAAAAAATTTTTTCCATCAAATGGCAACACGCTAAGGAGATTATAAGGAAATGTCCTACTTGTTCTTTGCACAACCAGACACCACTACCTGCAAGAAGAAACCCAAAGGGTACTCAAAGAAATGAAATCTGGCATCTGAATGTGTTCCGTTTTGTAGAATTTGGAAAACTAAAATATGTATACCACACCATTGATATCTATTTAGATTATCAATGGGAAACTACTTTGAGTTCAGAAAAGGCTGAATCAGTAATCATATATTTGCTAGAAGTTATGCCATCATGGGTATGTAAACCTGCACAAATAAAGACAGTGTTCCAACATATGTCTCTAAGAAAATGAAACAATTTTTTGCTTATTATAATATAAAACATATTACAAGTATACCACACAATCCTACAGGGCAGGGAGTTATAGAAAGATCACATCAAATTTTAAAGTTAAATAAATAGTGTTAAATAAACAGAAAGGGATAATAAAGACCCCCCAGAAATCGATTGCGTAATGCTTTATTAACTTTGAATTTCAAAATTCTAAAGAGAAAGAAACAACAGCTGTGGAAAGGCATTGGATAATAGAAAAAAACTACAGAATTAAATCAGCTGGTATACTTTAAAGATGTACTGACCTCAAAATGGAAACCAGTAAATGTGTTAATTAAGAAAGGGGTTTTGCTTTTGTTTGTCCAGGAGAAGAAAAGCGATGGATACTATCAAAATTGATAAAGATTTGATTTGAACAAGAAACACCTTAATTAAAAGAGATGATAGTTCATCAAACAGCATGGCCGTCTAATCTAAACTAACCTATAATACTAACAGATGCTTTTCATTTGATCAGGTATAACTTGCCAAAAGAGAATAGCCCCAAAATTAGGGTTGGGAAGGGTTTTTTTCTGTCTTTTCAGGAGAATAAAGGCATCCAGCTAAGGAATCCAAAGGTTACTGGACAAATGAGACATCAAAAGAAATGGGACAAATCATCCAGAAAAAAAATGTCTCAAGAAAAAGTAAATTGGCCTATTGTTATATCACATTTCCAACAGGATAGAATTTCATAAATCTTCCCAAATGTTTATTTCTGCTGTTCGCTACAGACATATAACACAAATGGTCTTTCTGTGGTCCCAGTCTAATTAAAGATTAAAGCTGGCTTTGGAGTTGGAGTGGGGCTCTCCTTCTTTAAATCCAAACATGCTTATTAAAGTGAAATCCACTGGGCAGCGGTGGCACACGCCTTCAATCCCAGCACTTGGGAGGCAGAGGCATGTGGATCTCTGCGAGTTCCACCACTGCCCGGCCTTTATCTTGTATTCTTATATTCTTATATTGATAAATATAACAAATATCCATGACTCACCAAATAATAACCAAAATCCTCCCACAACCCTCCTCTTGGGATGTAGACATGGTTTTCTCGACACTGTTTCTTGTTGGCTATGGATGGAGGCATCTTTAGAGGCCCTGAGAAAATGTGAGGTAATGGCTAAGGCCTAGGAAAACCAGCCAGAACCTTTGTTGATAGTTATCATCTGTCAGGTTTCAGGAGGTCTCCCTTTATTAAACCTGATCCATATTAACCTGGAACTAATTCACAGCCTCTTGTTTCCTTTTCGAAACAAAAGTAAAACTGCTTCTCCAGAGAAATTCATCAAAATCAGTACAATAACAGAGGATTCAGCCTCCCTATTTATTTCTCATCTCACATGGCTTTTTTACTCTCTCTTTTAAAGACTATTTTATTTTCAAGCTATTTCTTTCTATACTATTCATACCCCTTTTCTGTCTGGACTTCTTTTACTGTGTACCTTCTAGCCTTTTTTTTCTTTTTCTTTTATATGCAATAGAATCAAATAGCCTTTTTTTTTTTTAATCCAGTCAAAAAACTTAAGCTGCCAAGCTACACCTGCGTCCTCTACGCTGCTGTACCAACTGGCTCTGCCTGCCTATCATTTTGTGAGCGCCAAGACTAAAATTTGCATGTGGGTTGGAGGTGCATGACTAGACACTGCATTCAACCTTCCTAGCTGTGGGAAGCTGGTCCCTGTGCTGCCACAAGCATTTTTTTACTTAGCTTGCCCTGCCAACTGAACAGCAGCACCTCTTAAAGGAGCCACACCCTTTTTCCTTTTCTTTTATTTTTCAGTTTCCTCTGATTCTACATGGAAATATGGAACCACGCTGGAAGCCAAAATGTTGTGTTTTTTTGTTGTTGTTATTGTTTTATTTTTACTCTTTGGCTCTTTGCGTTTTGGGGGCGTGCCACTAAGTTCCCAAATAAATACATATGGAGGTTTATTTTTTTCTTATGAATGCCCAGCCTTAGCTTGGCTTGTTTCTTTCTTTTTTTTTTTTTAACATTAGTTATAAACTGATTGGCGTAGTATCTCAGGCTTCTTATTAACTCTTACAACTTAAATTAGCCCATTATTCTTTTTTTTTTTTTTTTTTTACAAATGGTATTTTTTTTTTATTTTGGTTTTGCATTTGGTTTTCTGAGACAGGGTTTCTCTGTAGCTTTAGCCCATTATTCTTATCTATGTTAGCCACATGGCTCAGTATCTTTTTCAGTGAGGCAGTCACATCTTGCTTCTTCTGTGGCAGGCTCACAACTTGCTTGGCTTGTTTTTAGCCAGCTTTTACCTTAAATTATCCTGTCTATCTTCAGACTCTGGGCTTTTACCTTTACCCTGTATACCTTTCTTTACTTATTACTCCATGACTGGCTGTGTAGCTGGGTGGCTGGCCCCTTCTTTTCTCACTCCTTGATCTTTTCTTCCCAGATTTTTTTTCTCCCGTTTATTCTCTCTGCATGCCAGCACCACCTATCTTTCTCCTATTGGCTCTTCAGTTTTTTATTAGACCAACAAGGTGTTTTAGACAGGCAAAGTAACACAGCTTCATAGTGTTAAACAAATACAACATTAAATAATGCAACACATCTTTGCATCATGAAACAAACATTCCACAGCATAGACAAATGCTACACATCTTAAATTAATATTCTAACAACATTGTAGCCACTAGTAAGAATCCAAATTGGTTTTGTACCATCTTTGGTTTAGAGATCCATAGACAAACACACAATTTTTTTTGTGTGTTTTATTAAAAAATAGGAAAAATCAGTTATTTAGAAGTAGCTATTTAGTAAAATATATATTTGAGTGTATTCCATTATTGTCATTTTCTCTCAAAACAAGATCTAAGTTATTTTTCCAAAGTAGAGAGAAAGTACCAAAATCAGTTTGTTTGTTTGTTTGTTTTATTTTTTTTAAAGACAGGGTCTCACTATGTAGCTATAGCTGACGTCTTGGAACTCACTATGTAGGCCAGGTTGGCCTTGAACTCAGAGAGATGTGACTGACTCTGCCTCTTGAGTGCTGGGATCAAAGGCATTGCCACCATGGTTGGCCTTTATCTTTTGAATAGAAACTGAGCCCAAATCTTCCGTTTTTCAGGTTTAATTTATGTTATTGGAGGAATCAGCAATGAGGGACTGGAGCTTCGTTCTTTTGAAGTTTATGATCCTCTTTCTAAGCGTTGGTCTCCACTTCCTCCTATGGGGACCAGAAGAGCATATCTCGGGGTGGCAGCGCTCAATGACTGCATCTATTCTATTGGAGGGTGGAATGAGACACAAGACGCTCTTCACACTGTAGAAAAGTACTCCTTTGAAGAGGTAGGTTGGATGATTTCAAATGTTTAATGTCTTGTTTTCTTTCAGTACCTGTTAGATCTGTAGTGATGTGTTCTCTTTCACTCGTTATTTTGATCATTTACCAACTTATCTCTTTTTCTCTCTTTCCTCTCTCTTGGTTTTTCGAGACTGGGTTTCTCTGTGTAAGCAACCTACCTGGAACCAAGCTGACCTTGAATTCTGCCTGCCTCTGCCCCTCAAGTGCTGGGATTAAAGGTGTGCACCACCACTGCCAATCTTTCTTACTCTTTTAAAAGAACCAATTTTAAATATCACTATTTTTAATTTTCTTTTAGTTGCTGTTCATTTTCTATTGAATTATTTCATTTTTACCTTTTTTTCTTGTGTATTTTGGGTTTTTGCCTTTTTCTAGATCATTAAATTAGAAATTGAGATGACAGATTATAAATCTTCATTTTCTTATTTTTTAAATTTTGGTGTGGGGTGGGGACTGTAAAGATTGTTCAGTGGTAAAGAGCCTTGGCTGCTCTTGCAGGGGGTGACCTAGGGTTAGTTTCCAGCACCTGCATGGTGGTTTACTGCTGTCCAAACACAATCTCTTCTTTTTTAAAAAAAAAAAAAAAGATTTATTTATTATGTGTACAGCATTCCTTCCATGTGTGCCCGCATGCCAGAAGGGGCGCCGGGTCTCATTACAGATGGCTGTGAGCCACCATGTGGTTGCTGGGAATTGAACTCAGGACCTCTGGGAAGAGCAGTCAGTGCTCTTAACCACTGAGCCATCTCTCCAGCACCCCACAATCTCTTCTTTTAACATATTCCTTTCCTTTTAAAGAAAGTTTTTTGTTTGTTTGTTTGTTTTCCCAGACAGGGTTTCTCTGTGGCTTTGGAGCCTGTCCTGGAACTAGCTCTGTAGACCAGGCTGGTCTCGAACTCACAGAGATCCGCCTGCCTCTGCCTCCCAAGTGCTGGGATTAAAGGCGTGCGCCACCATCGCCCGGCTAAGGTTTATTATTTTTTTTTTCTATGTGTGTGTCTGTGGCTTCCATGTGTGTTCAGATATCTGCAGAGGTCAGATGAGGATATCAGCCCCCAGGAGTTAGAGGTATGGATGGTAGTGAGCCATCAGATATGAGTGCTGAGATTTAAATTCAGGTCCTCTGGAAGTAGCAAGTACTCTTAACTAATGATCCATCTCTCCAGCCTCTCTTCTTTCCCTTTCATTTATATATTTTATTTTATTACTATTACATTCTTCTTTGAGACAGAGTCTCACCATGTATTGTTGGCTGCCTGGAAAGTTGCTGTCCAGATCAGGCTGGTCTCCAACTCATTGGGATCCCCTGCCTTTTTACTTACTTTCTTGGTTTGAATTTAGACATATAACGACTAGGATATATGATTTCAAGATTTTATCATTTTGTGACAGTACTAATGTTAATTCTTTTCTCACTTTACTAGGAAAAGTGGGTTGAAGTTGCTTCAATGAAAGTGCCCAGAGCAGGCATGTGCGTTGTGGCGGTCAATGGTCTCCTGTATGTTTCTGGAGGCCGCTCTTCTAGCCATGATTTCTTGGCCCCAGGTACCTTGGACTCAGTTGAAGTTTATAACCCTCATTCAGATACATGGACAGAAATTGGTAACATGATCACGAGTCGCTGTGAAGGTGGTGTTGCTGTACTATGACACAGAAAGCATAAAAGTACAAGTAGCATTTGGAAATGTAGGTTCTGACCTGTTGTAAATCAAACTTGTATTTGTGATGTGGCCCTCTGATTCTTTTGAGGATATGTATTGAATAGATAGATAGATAAGAGTGATCTTTTTCTAAAGTTTAAATGTGAATAGATATGGAATATATCTTAATAAAGAACTCATAAGTTTGCAAAGCTTAACAACAATAGAAATGGTGTTTATGCCTTACAGTTATTCAGTTATCAATATAATCCTAATTGTAAAAATTGTTTGTTTAGAAACTTCTGGGAAATAGTGCCTTTGGCTACTTCTCTAGTGCAGTTCAAATTGTAATATAGCCTGTATACAATAAATGATCATCTCTGAGACAGTTTAAAGATTTCTATTTTAATTCACAACTTAGTCCAGAACATAGTTTCCATGCTGTGAAACCTATAGAGAAAAGCTAGTGAAACTGTACTTCAATGGCAGGACTTTTTACCATCCCCAAATAAAAGCATTAGACTATTAGGAAGGGCATATAGTAAATATCCATTTGGATTTTGTTTGTTTTTGAGACAGGGTATCTCTACATAGCTCTGGCTGTTCCAAAACTTTCTGCATAGACCAAGCCTGCCTCAAAGTCACAGAGATTTGCTTGCCTCTGCCTCCCAAGTGCTGGGATTAAAGGTCTATGCCTCTATGCCACTATGCCCAGCATATCTATTTAGATAGGTAAGCTTCTGCTTTTGATAGTCTGAGAGATTTTTACCAACTCCTATTTTTTGTTTTGATTAGAAAGTTTTATTTTTTTAAAATTTCTATGTATGTGTGTGTGTGTGTCTACTTGTCTGTGTGCACCATGTGTATACAGATGCCTGCTGAGGCCAGAAGAGGATGTAGTGTCCCCAAACTGGAGTTAAGGTGCTGTCTGATGTGGGTGCAGGGTACTGAACCTTAGGTCCTCTGAAAGAGCAGCAAGTGCTTCTATTTTTTGAGCCATCTTTCTAGTCCCCCATGATGACAGTTGAGTTTTTAAAAATATGTATGAGTTGGGGCTGGAGAGATGGCTCTGTGGTTAAGAGCACTGACTGTTCTTCCCAGAGGACCCAGGTTCAATTCCCAGCATCCACATGGCAGCTCACAACTGTCTGAAGATCCAGTTGCAGGGGATCTGACACCTTCACATCAATGCACATAAAATAAAGTTAAATAAAAATATTTTACAAGGTATATATATGAGTATTTTACCTGAAGTTTTGTCTGGGATTTGGCATTATAGATGGTTTTAGTGGTTGTGGTTGCTGGGGTCTTCTGGAAGAGCCAGTGTTCCTAACTGCTGAGCCGTCTCTCCAATCTTTAGATAAGTTCTTGATTGAAATAGTGTGCAATGGGGATCCCCAGGCATTATTATGTGCTTAGAAGTTTCTTCTTTATTTTCTAGTCACCAAGATTATCTATTTAGTTTTAGGAAGAGGTGCTTTTGTTAGATTATTAAGCTTTGTTTAATTTACTTGTACTTGGATAAGCCTATGTAATAGCTTAGTATAGTGCTACTGCCTGGTGGCTTGGAGAAAGATAAATTGTAGTTGCAACTTTTTATGTTTTGTTTTTTGCTGGTCTTGATTGTCTGTTTTTGTTTTGGGGATAGTCTCACTATGCAGCCCAAGTTATCCTTGAACTCTCAACAGTCTTCCTGCTTCAGCCTTGGGAGTGCTGGGTAACAGGTATGAGCCATCATACTTGGCTCAGTAGGTACACCTTTGAGCATCTTTAATCTGAAATCAGAGAACTTTTGAATGCTGACACCCAATGCAAAAAAATACTTTGAATTTGTTTCATTTTTTATTTCTGATTTTCAGAATAGGGATGCTCAGCTGATAAATGCTACATAGTCTAAAACCTGGTGTATTCTGAAGTCCAAAACACTTCCAATCCCAATCATTTCAGATCTTTATCAGGGATTTATATAGACAAATATTGTGAGTTATAACTACCTTGAATCTAAAACTGCTCCTGAAACTTGTTTCCCCTGATATCATTCTTAAGAATGTTTTATACTGGGCTGGAGAGATGGCTCAGTGATTAAGAGCAGATTGCTCTTCCAGAGGACCCGGGTTCAATTCCCAGCATCCACATGGCAGCTCACAACTGTCTGAAGATCCAGTTGCAAAGGATCTGACACTTTCACACCAATGCACATAAAATAAAAGTTAAATAAACCATAAAAATAAAAAAAGAATGTTTTATACTGAATTCTGAAGGCTGTGATCACTGCTTTTATTTTTGCTAGCGAGTTAAGAGCCACATTATTAAGGGTTTGTGTGCTTTCAGTTTAACTGGCTGCCTCAAGGTTATGATTTCTCATTTAAGGTCTTTCAGTATATTGTTAGACACATCAACACCTTATTAGATAGAAAACCTTTGATCAGCATTTAACTGTTATATAGCACAGACAGAAAGCAATGCCTCCTTCTGTGAAATAGCCTGAAAGTTTAAAGTTAGGATCTAGATGTCAGAGAATGAATACCAAGAGTATTCAAGTCTAGTTAAGCTAACTCATGTGCTCCTATTGTTTAGAGAACGTGCTAAAACAGATTCACAAAATACTAGTTCAATTCTCATAATTGCCCAGTACCAGACAAAAATGGCAAGGGATATGATCACACACATAACACACATATGCCTGTAGCAGAAATGAAATATCAAGACATTCAGTATTTGGTACTTATGTATGATCAGCTCAGAAGTTACCTGAACAGTTAATTAAGTGTGTATTATTTCCCAGCCCCCAGCCCAGGGTTTTAAGTTAAAATTCCAGGGTGTTAGGTTAGGGATGTATTGCTCAGTAGCAGTGCTTTTATAGCATTTATGAAGCACAGGTTCAATTTCTAGGAGGAAAAGAAAATCAAACAAAGCAAAGCAATACTTTTGTCATTATTTTATGTTTGAGACAGGGCCTCTCTATGTAGCATTGGCTGTCCTATAACTTGTTAGTAGATCCTCCTGCCTCTGGATTAAGGGTGTAGTCCAAAACTCCTGGTTGTATTTTAAATTTTTTGTTGTTGTTGTTGTGTTGTTTTTTTAGACAGGGTCTCCATGTGTAACCTTGATTGTCCTGGAACTCTAAAAAAAAAAAAAAAAGGCTTACACATTGCAATTTCCAGTGGTAAGTGCTATACAAATTGACAGAAATACCTTTATTTTCAGGGTGTCATGGACTTCCTAATGAAGTAGGAGTATTCTTTTCATGAAATGTGACTTCATACTTCCAAGACTCTAATAGAAGATTTTTCAATTTGTCTTTTGTTGTTCTCAATATAATTCAAACACTGAAATGTTTAAGTAGATGACTATACAATTCACAAAAAGATGATGTAAACTAACCTCATATGACACAATAAAGGATTAGGATTTTCAAGATGAATTACTTAGAAAATAGTATTTCGAATCCCAGCACTTGGGAGGCAGAGGCAAGCAGATCTCTGCGAGTTTTAGACCAGCCTTGCCTACATATCAAGTTCCAGGACAGCCAGAGTTGTTAGTGAGACGAACAAACAAACATTTTTTTTGTGTGTTGTTTTTCCAGACAGGTTTCTCTGTGTGGCCCTGGCTGTTTTGGCACTTGCTCTGTAGGCCAGTCTGACCTTGAATTCAGAGATCCACCTGCTCTTGCCTCCTGAGTGCTGTAATTAAACACATGGGCCAACATCACTTGACTAAAAGAAGTAATTTTTAGAAATGAAAAAAAAAATGGCCATGAAGAATAAATTCCCACCAGTGGGAGGAAAAAAAGAGCCAAACAAGGAACCCAAGTGTGATGCTAACATGCAACTGTACAAGTGAGAAATAAAGGGCTCAGGCTCAGTGGTCAAGAACATGTATTGTTATGGACTCAAGTTTTATTCCCAGCCAGACGCTGAGAGGCTCAGAACTGCCTGTCTGTAACTCCAGCTCCAGGGACTCCAATACCCTCTTCTGGTCTCTGAAGGCAGTATTCCCTGTGAACACATGTCCCATAGGCAGTGTACTCTGTGAACATATGTTCCATGACATAACTGAAAAAAACCCGCAAGTTTGCAAGACTTACAGCCAAGTAGCAAATAATATCAATAATGTAGTTTAGGTGGACTTTTCAGTCCCACCAGCCACTCCCCAAATAATCACACAGAGAGTTAATATTATAAATGCTCAGCTGATAGCTTAAGCTTGTTTCTTAGTTAGCTCTGATAATATAGCCATTTCTATTAATCTGTGTGCCCCAGGCTCATGTACCTCAAGTACTTACTTCCCATCCTGCTTCCTTTGACTCCACCCTTCTCCCCAGCATTCTCGGTCCCAAAAATCCTGCCTAGCCATCAGCCAATCAGCTCTTTATTAACAAGGAGAGCAACATGTCTTCACAGTGCACAGAACAGAAGGATTATTCCACAGCAAAGTGGTTTTATTTTTCTACTTCAACAAAACTTTTGGGCCCTTTTTCTGGATAAATACTTTTAAGTATTAAAGTGACTACAAATGAGAAAAAAGCCACTAAAGTACTTACTATCCTCAAGGCTTTGAACCAGTTGGGATAATGTGGCAAAAGGAAAAGTTCATTGTGTAATGCTATACCTAAACCCATTATTACTGTGACAATGGCTTCACTGAGTCTTTCAGAAAAGAGGACAGCTGCCCATGAAAACAGAAGAGGACTCATACTACTAGCTAAGTTAATGTAGTCTGGTTTGGCTGGACTGCTTTCTGGCAGGGCAAAGCCCCATCTAACCCCTCCCAAGAAAGCTAGGAAAGTGGCTCCATAAGCCATCTGAGTAAACGCTAATATGGGGATATAAGACTTTGTTATGACCATGGTGAGTGGTGGAGCAATAAAGGGGACTAACCCCACCAGACTTATGTATAATGCTGGCTTTGGGCTATCAGGTAGGTAAGTGATGCTGCTTGGTGTCCTGGAGGGAACAACTGCTTCCTTCTGCTGTCTTTTAAAGTTGCATGGTGATGCATGATAGCATTGTATGTTGTTCATACACACTTGAAATGATGTCGAAAGCCTTGGCGACAAAGGGGAAAGGTTCTGCTGAAACGATGTCTTGGGAGAAAGTACATCTATTCTGCTGGCTCTGAATCTCACTGTAAAAGGGTACTTCAGCAGCTGTAAAGGAAAAACAACCAGGAGACAAAGTTTAAAAATAAGAACATGTACACTGACATACATACAGGCAAAACCCCATACACATATAATTTGGGGGTTGGAGAGATGTCTTGATGATTTAGAGCACTGACTGTTCTTCCAGAGTACCCAGGTTTGATCCCCATTCTACATGGTGGCTCACAACCAGCCGTAATTCTAGTTCCAAGATCGGACACCCTTTCCTTGCCTCCACATGCACTGTATACAATGGCACATATATACACATTTAAAAAAAAAATCTAGCCAGGCAGTGGTGACACATGCCTTTAATCCCAGACAGAGGCAGGTGGATCTCTGTGAGTTTGAGGCTAGCCTGGTCTACAAGAGCAAGTTCCAGAATAGGCTCCAAAGCCACAGAGAAACCTTGTCTCGAAAAACAAAAAAGCAAAACAAAACAAAAAAAAAAAAATTCTAGCAGCTCCTCGGCCTTGCTCATGGAAAGTTCCAGTATGGAGGCCCACATTAGTGATGCCCACCACAAGCCGAATAGACCAATGGGGGACCCTCCCTCAGAGAAGCTTAGCTCTCCACCTGTGTCCCCGCGGCCTCAGAATGAAATCTGTGAACCTATCGTACTCCACATGGAGACCTGGGTGGCAAAAAGGATCTTTGGCCCAACACAACCCTCAGTCCCATTAGAGCGGTTCAATGGCAAGATTTGGTTGACAGTGGACACTGTCGACTCTGGGAACATAGCTGAAATCAGCATATATGGAGAACCCTCTCTAAAGCGTCGAATGAAAAATGTTCACTTGCACATGGAAGCAAACCATAAGAGCTTGGACAATGAAAGAACTTGAGGAATTCTTGATGAACCGTTCCCCAAACTCAAACCACCCTCAAGACTGAGGCAAGAGGCACTTGCTGACTGACAGGCAGACCTGTTTTCAGCCCGTGAAGGTGAAGAGAAACAGATTATTAAAATCTTCCCATTTGTTTTCTTTCTTGCCTTTGTGGATGCCTGTTTTCATTTCTACAAGTAACAATTTGTAAAACTATTCAAATAATAAAAATGACCTTTTTTTGGCCTGTTATTTTCATCACATACAATAAAGCAAACTTATAACCATCAAAAAAATCTAAAAAGAATTTTTTTTAAAAAGGAATTATTTAAAAATTAAAAAGGAGGGCTGGAGAGATGGCTCAGCGGTTAAGAGCATTGCCTGCTCTTCCAAAGGTCCTGAGTTCAATTCCCAGCAACCACATGGTGGCTCACAACCATCTGTAATGAGGTCTGGTGCCCTCTTCTGGCCTTCAGGCATACACACAGAAAGAATATTGTATACATAATAAATAAATAAATATTTTTAAAAAAATTAAAAAGGAACAGCTATTTAAGAGTCTTGGTAAGCCTTCAAAAAAAAACATGCTAAGGCCGGGCGGTGGTGGCGCAAGCCTTTAATCCCAGCACTTGGGAGGCAGAGGCAGGCAGATTTCTGTGAGTTCGAGACCAGCCTGGTCTACAGAGCTAGTTCCAGGACAGGCTCCAAAGCCACAGAGAAACCCTGTCTCAAAAAACAAAAAACAAAACAAAACAAAACAAAAAAAACCATGCTAAGAATGATCTCATGTTGGCCTTTATTCCTTTTGTCTCCAAAAGGAGAATGCTTTTCCTTCAGCTACCTACATGGCCATTCCTTCATTTCTGACCCTTTTATTTATGTTATAAAATCCTGTCTGTTATTTTCTGGTAGGACTTATTCTTACTTGTGTGTGGGTGGGTGCCCTTAGACTTCAAGTCTTTTAGAGCTGGAGTAACTGGTTGTAAAACCATCCAACATGGGTGCTGGGATCAAACTAAGGCCCCAGCAGGCAAGGCCGAACTATCTCTCCTGTTCCTGTTTGTTGTCGATATTCCCTGTTCTTCTTCCCTAATGTATAGTTCTCCACAACAGTTTCTACTTGACATAGCAAATATTTTACTTATGCATAATTTACTCATTGTTCTCCTTCCTCACTAGAATACATGAGGTGTGTGTGTATATATTTGCCCTAGTCAGACAGTTATTGACAAATAGTGCTCAACTAACCTTTGAAGAGGCTCCAGAAAATTTCTGGATGAAGTGAAGCATACTGGTCTCTATTCAGTCTTGTTCCAGAAGATGCAGTGCTGATTAATATAGTTTGCAGCTGAGTGGGATAGCTCAATTTGAAGCAAAGGTGCTTATACAGAAAACAACATATCATTTTGTTGTCCTCATTTTATGCATTAATTTTACAAAAGTAATAAATCATAAGAATCTCCTCAATAGAACATGATTTCTTTTGAAAAAAATTCTCAAAGAGTAACATTAAGGAAATACTATCCTCCCCCTCTCCCCCCAGTTTTAGTTTTGGCTGTCCAAAAAGAGCAATGTGCAGAAACTGAATATCTGGATTTAGTAAACATCTTTACCACTTCCTTAGGTGCTAGTCTTATCTTTAAAACTCACAGTTATAACTTTTGTTCCCATTAACTATCGTCTTTAATTATTGTCTACTTCAGAGCTTAGGAATTATTACACTTACAATAATGATAGCAGCCACAAATATAGCTTAGTTGTGAACCGGGCAAGGTAACTACATGTTTTACATATATTAACTGTATACCTTTTAGAACTTCGTAACAGCTGTACCACGTTGTTTTCCAATTGGGAAATATTTAAAGAAAGTGTTAGGCTGAAGCCTAGAGTCGTCAGGTCATGCGAATTAAGGACAGAAAGCCCAATCTGCGTGAAAACGATAAAATATTTTCATGTCGTTAATGTAATAACCACACTGAGCGTCTCAAGCCATTTTTGAGATAGGAGCGGAATTTAGGAGTCTTGAGACGCCTAGGATGACAATACATCTCCTATTTACCAGCCCTTAGTGACCCCGCCCCCACCGCCTGCCCAAAGCGTACCCTTCACAGTCCTTAATACATACTTGCCACCATCACGCGGCGGAAGATCTGAACAACAAATTCAACCAGAAAGAGAACTTCCGGCCACTGGAATTACACAACCCCACTTCCTGAGATCAGAAAAATGTGTCCGGGTGGGAACTTACTACAGCAAGTTCCAACTCTCCTCTTTCCGTTTGGGGGCGCTTCCCTCCCTCAATTATATTATATTATTTTTATATTTGGGTGTGTTCGTGTACTTGAGTGCATGTGCCCACTAAGATCAGAGGTGCGGATCTCCTACGATACAGTTGCTGGAAGCTCAACTGGAATTCTCTGTAAGAGCAGTAAGCGCCTTTAATCACTGAGCAGCCTGCAGCCCCGGGGATTAGTTTAAAATTTAATTCTAATTGGTGTTGACTTCAAGGTACTTTACTAGTCTCTATTCCAGGATTCGTAATGTATCTAGCAGTTCAGGAAGGTAGGGTACAAGTTCTGAAACAATCCCATTAATGGTAGCGGAAGGAGGTAGGAGGAGACTTCGAGTTAGACCAATTAGTATCCACGGAATTTTTTTTTTTTTTAAAGACAAGATATTAGTGTGTTACTCTGCTGGCTTGGAACGCTTAACTTTGCGAAGAACAACGGGGCTTTCCAGAAATGAAAAAAAAAAAGTCTTCCTTTTTTGCATTTGAGTCCTTTATTACTGTGTTTACTTCCACTCTCTTTACTATTACTAAGAAGAAGAGAGGCCTAGGCGCAAAATGCACACTGAATTAAGGTGTGGCGTTAAGGGCCTTGGATGTCATCCAGGAAGTAATTTTTTTAAAAAACTTATCCACTGTGCGATTTCGTGCCTCCCATCTGCCGTCAGCCAGCCAAAAGAACAGGCACCAAGCAATATGAGCGATCTTGGATCTTTGTGCAAAAAGCTGAAAACAAATCGGAGCTCACTTACTTAGGGGCCCACTGTGGCCAATTCTTCCACTCCTCTAGGTACTACAACATGCAGAAGTTTTAGATTCTAGAAGTGAGAGACGCGACTGGCTACCGAGGCCTTCACATTTATTCACTTCTCTGGTCTGGTTGCACCGCCTTTTCCTGTCGTTTAATACCCAATGGAGTGTTAATAGGCCCAGGAGTCTATTAGCAAAGACCTGGCTTGACCAGAATTCCAACCTGCGCCCGGGTGGCTCCTTGACGCCTGCAATGCCCAAGAACTACAACTCCCGGCGGGTAGCGCGCCCGACACCGCTGCGCATGCTTCTAGTGCTGGGGGTCTATGGCACGCCAAGGGCCAGAGTCTCAACGACGCGCGCACGTGAAAGGAAGAGCGAGAGGTGTGCAGGGATCGGAAAACACGCCCTTCCGTAACTGCTTTGCTAGTTCTGGTAGTTAGCGAAGTATCTGGCCTCCGCGTGAGGTGTGAGAAGGCGAAGAAAGAATGGGCGGGGAAGAACTGGTACAAATAGACCCGCCCATGTTCACGTGCTCCCAGGCCGGAGTTCCCGCGGGGAGCTTTAAGGGGAAGTGCTGAGCACGGCTGGTCCCCGCCTCACGAGCTGCGCGAGACAGGCGAAAGGCTTTGCGGAAGGGCGAGCCGGCCGCCCCCTGTCGCGCTGAAGGGCGCCGGGGCGGGGCGGGGCGGGGCATAACCGCTGCGGGAGCGGACCAACGTTTCCTGAGCGAGCGGCGGGCGCCCGAGCTGGGTCACCCTGGCATGGTGGTGCGCCTGCGCGTGCGCCTTTGCTAGTGGGCGTGTGGGAGGCGGGCCGGAGCGGCAGGGGGCGGGCCCAGTCGGTCGCCGCTCCTCCTCGGCCTGCTCTGCCCCCTCCTGAGCCTTGTGGGCCGGGCAGCCATTTTGGGAAGAGCTTTGTTATGGTTGTGGGCTAGTCACCTCTGCTGGTCGGAGAAGCCGGGGACGCCTTCTTAGACGTCGCGACTCGCCCTTGACCGTAGCCCCGCCGCTGCCGGGTGAGTGCGAGTTCTGCACAGCGAGCAGAAGTGGCCCTCGAGTCGCCCCGGCACGGGCTCTGCCGGCCGCCTGGCTGGCCGTCTAGGAAAACTAGTTGGAAGAAGGTCTTGCACAGGTGGTTGGTGTAGGTCCGCCCGGGGTGGGCGAGAGGAAGTGGGAGTCGTCTCGTTGGAACGTCCCCCTCCCCCCAACGGGAGGAGCCTTGCACACTAGCGTCGCCGCGGCGGTTCCAGAGCGCTCCGACTTCAACTTCGGTTCTGGGTCGGAAACGCTCACCTGCGGCTCCGGCTCCTTTCCAAGAGTTCCGGCTAGGTGGTGGTGGTGTGACTTCGTTAACGCCTTTCCTTCCCTTTCCTTAAAATAAGAGCCGAAGGCTTCTGTTTTCCAGTTAAGAGAAACTTAACGAGGGAAAAGTCGTGTAAGTCAAATGTGGGATATCTAGGGGAAAGGGAACTTTCACGCCCTGAGTTCGGGTTCTCCGGGTTAGTGAGACCTTTTCCTTCAGATGGTCTTACCAGCCCGCTACCAAACTCCGTCCCATTGGGAAGGAGGACTGATTGATTTTGAAGTGGCTTGAATAGTCATTTTTATTCCATGCTAAATCTCCCCAGCCTATAAAATTAAAAAAAAATACTGAATCTAAAATGGGTGTAGCCTGGGGAAGTACCCTGTTTAAATGCTCAAATACAATAACATTTCGGTCGTTTTTTCACTATGGGACGTTAACTGGCCCTTGTTGCAGTTGGCCTAAGCATGTTAGCAATATGAAAACAAAGGTGAGGTTCAGGAAGTTTTTTTTTAAAGTTTACATAAGAAAGGGTGCGGTTTTTTTTTTTTTTTTTTTTGTTTTTTTTTTTTTTTTTGTTTTTTGGTAGTAGCGAATACTACTGAAATTGTGCTGTGGTACCAGTTTTGTGTGCCCATTTTGTGATCTGAGTTTGTATAATATGTTGAGTAGTTTAACTTTGATATCTATTGCTTACTTGGAAAACCTGAAGTTAGTTAATGGGTTTTTTGCTTTTCCTCTGTAAATCTCATATAAAAACTGCGTGCTTGATATATAGTTTGTTGGAGATCTCCTGTTTTCTAAATGTCGTTTTCACCTCATTCCATGAAGGGTATGAGGTGTGTATAAAATAACAATTTTGCAAATAAAATAAAGAAAATAGAAAAATGATTTTGCAAGTGAAAACCTTCAGGAGTGGAATACCAGGTGGTTGTACCTGTTAAAAAAAAGTCCTCTTTCTGTTGGCTCAAAACAGAAACAACAGCAAATTTTAGTTTTTGGAAAGGTGTGATTGAATTGAAGCTGTTAACCTATTCAAAAAATAAAATCGAATACTAATTGTGAATGGATCGATAAAATCCATTCACAAGATAATCTGATCTTCCAGAGAGTTGGTTTCAATTACTTTCATGCATTCTTTCAAACAGGAAGGTTTTTGTCTTTTTTCCTAGGAGTTTTATTATTTTATGGGTATGGGCATTGTGCCTGCATGTAGGTACGTGCAGGTCCTACTGAGGTCAGAAGAGGGCATTGGATCCCTTAGCTATGGAGTCGGGCAGTTGTGAGTCCCATGTGGGTACTGGGACTCAACCATGGGAGCACTGGAAGAGATCCTGGGTTTTTTATTTTTATTGTGTTGTTCTTCCAAGAAAATCATGTTAAGTTCTTTCCAGAAGTGATTAGTTCTTGCGTTCTGTTTTGACAGTATTTCTTACAGCCCTCGGTAGAGGCCTCACTTGAAATTCACCTGAACTCTACTTCTGAGGGGTCCTTTGTCCTTCTCGACATTCTTTCAGTTGATTATGGTGTGCTTTCAGAGTTCTTGAAATTGGGGAAAGGGGATGGGAAGCCTTTATTTTGAATTAATTTAACAAATTTTTTAAAGATTTTATGTGTAGTGTCTGCCTGCATGTATCCTACAGACCAGAAGAGGGCACCAGATCTCATTAAAGATGATTGTGAGCCACATGAGATTGCTGAGAATTGAACTCAGGTCCTCTAGAAGAGCAGCCAGTGCTCTTAATCTGAGCCATCTTTCCAGTTCCTAATTTAATAATTCTTATCTTTGATTATTTAAAGTCTTAGTTGAAGGGAAGGGTACATTCATCCATTTCAATATATGCATATGATAAGAAATCTTGAAATGTATTTCTCTCTGTGTATACATGTATAAGTATATACATTTTTGGGGGGGACAGAGTCTCACTATATAAAGCATTGGTTCTCAACCTTCCTAATCCTTCAGTAATTACTAATTTCTGAATTTGTACAGTACTTCCAATACAGTTCCTCATGTTGTGGTGAGCCCCAAGAACAAAATTTTACTGCTGCTTCATTACTAATTTTTTTCTGCTGTTATGAATCATTATGTAAATATCTGATGTGCGACCCTTATGGAGTTCATGAGCTCCAGGTTGAGAGCCACTGATGTAGAGCCATGCTGGCCTGGAACTCACAGAGATCCATCTGCTTCTTCTACCTTTCCAATGCTGGAATTAAGGGTATGCACCACCACACCCGGCTACTTTTTGTTTTCAATGTGGGGCATTGAATTCAGAGTCTAGTGCATGCTGCAAGCATACTATCACTGTTCTATATACCACCAATTTGTTTTTATTAATTTATTATTTAACCTTATAAATGTTTTGCCTATATGTATGTATGTGTACCACATGTATGTATGTCTGAGGAAGGTCTTGGATCCCCTAGGACTGGAGTTACAGTTGGTTGTGAGCTACAGTGTAGATTCTTGTAATTGAACCCAGGTTCCTCTGCAAAGCAAGTGCTTTTAACCACTGAGCCAAGTCACTAACCCCTATAATTTATTTACTAATCTATCATTTTTTTCAAGGCTGGGTTTCTCTGTATAATCCTGACAGTTCTGGAACTACTTCTTTAGACCACTGGCCTCGAACTCAGAACTCAGACATCCACTTGCCTTTGCCTTCCAAATGCTAGGATTAAAGTCATGTGCCACCACCACTCAGTTCTGTGTAGTTTTTTTTTTTTTAATTTATTTGATTTTTTATTTTATGTGCATTGGTGTGATCCCCTGCAACTGGATCTTCAGACAGTTGTGAGCTGCCATGTGGGTGCTGGGAATTGAACCCAGGTCCTCTGGAAGAGCAGTCAGTGCTCTTAACTTTTAAAACAATTCTCAATCTTCTTTCAGAAAATAGCTTATCTTAATTTTATGGATTAAGACCAATGTGTCTGGGAGAGGCTGCTGCCCAAGTGTTTTTTTGTTTGTTTTAGGCAAGGATTTCTCTTTTTAGTTCTGGCTGCCCTGAAACTCATTCTGAAGACCAGGCTGGTCTCACAGAGATCTACCTGCCTCTGCCTCCCAAGGGCTTGGATCAAAAGCATGTGCCACCATGTCTAGCTCAAAGTGCTTTCTATTTATTGGCTTAATTACTTTGTGATGGTAATGTGGGTTTGGTTTTTTTATTTTTTATTTTTGCTTTTCTGATACTGAAGATTGATTGAACTGAGTGCTTTTTGGATGATAACCAAGCACTCTTATTCTTTTTTTTTTTTTTTTTAATTTTATTTATGATGTATACAGAGCTCTGCCTGAATGTATCCCTGCAGGCCAGAAGAGGGCATCAAATCTCATTACAGATGGTTGTGAGCCACCATGTGGTTGCTGGGAATTGAACTCAGGACCTTTGGAAGAGCAGCCAGAGCTTTTAACCACTGAGCCATCTCTCCAGCCCCAGCACTCGTATTCTTAATTGTATCCTTAATATTATTTGAGACTAGGTCTCATTAAGTTGCTATAGCAGGTCTTGGACTGTGAACCTCCTGCTTTGCCTCCTCCTAAGTAGCTATGATTTCATGTGTACAACATCATGCCATGTTAAGCAGATGTTTTATTCTTTACTTTGCAGTTGAGAAAAATGAGGCTAAGACTCATTTGTCTGCTAGCCAGTTGAGGCCACAAAAACCTAAGTGGACTGTCATGGTGCTTGACTTGCTGCATATGTGTGTGTGTGTTGTGATCTTGTTAGTTGGTTGAGGGTTTTTGTTCTGTTGTGTTTTGTTTTGAGACCTGGTCTCACTCTGTAGTCCTGGTTGGCTTGGAATTTGCTGTGTAGGCATTAGTTGGCATCAAACTCCAGAGATCTGCCTGCTTTTGCCTCTAGTGCTTGAGTTAAAGTACATTTAACCTTAGTAGTTTTTTTTGTTTGCTTAGTTTTTGCATTGATGGAGGTTGGGCTGCTTGCCTTTAAACATGAAAGTCAGACTGTTGTAATATTAAGGGTCATGAACCATTTTAAAGCATCCTGAGATGAGACAAAATTTAGGGTGGACAAAATAGCTCAGTTGGGTAGCTGTCAAGCTTGAGGGGACCTGAGCTTGATCCCTGGAATCTGTGTGATTTCCACATACATGCTATATAATACAAAAAGAGAAAAGACAAATTTAAGCTGGGGAGATGGCTCGGGGCATGAAGTATTTGCCTTACAAGCTTGAGGATTTGCATTTATAAAGCCAGAACTCATGAAACCATTTCTAGTCTGCTGTCCAGTGTTCCTACAAGGAAATGGGGAACAGACAGGAGAATCCCTGGAAGTACATGGACCTAGTAGCCTGGCAAATGTAACAGCAAATGAGACCCTGTCTCAGACAAGGTAGAAGACATGGACTGACACTGGAGATTGTCCTCAACCTCTAGTGTGCAGTGGCATATATCCACCTGCATTCACAAGAACACACACACAAACCGCATTCACAGACATATATTTCTTTTTTTTCTTAAAGAGCACTTCTTTAATTGTAAGGTTCATTACCTATTGTAATATAAATTGAGTTTTATGGATGACTTCAAATACATTAAAAGATATAGAAAGGGAATGATATTACTTTATTTTCCTTTACTAAAGCAATCAATCAGCCCTTTTCTGATTTGTTTGGCAAACTTAATTTTTCAGCAGAACAGACACTAGAGGCACACTGTTAGTGCTAGTTTTAGTGCACTGGTGGCAGGGA